ACTTATACATTATACACTGATTTTTAACACAGTTGCAAAGGCAATTCAGTGGAATAATTCTTTCCAAAAGATGGTACTAGAAGAACAACATTTCTGGGCTGGGGTTGTAGCTCAGTGGTAAAGTGCTTGCCTCGCACGCTTGAGGCCCTTGGTTCAATCCTCAACACCACATAAAAATAAACAAACAAAAAATAAAGATTTGGTGTCCATCTACAACTAAAAAATATATTTTAAAAATTCTTATAAAAAAAAGCCACATTTTCATATGCAAAAAAATCCTCAATCCATTCCTCTCTCTAAAACAATTAACTCAAAATGGATCATAGACCCTAATATTTGTTTGAGTGCTGAGTAGAGTCCCCATAATGTGTTTCTCTGGAGTCAGAGAAGTCCCAGAGCAAGAACCAAGGAGCAGATGGAGCAGGATTGAAGTGAGGTGATCCTGAGTTGCATCTATGAGAGCTGAATGAGGTCAGTGCAGAGTGGTTCCTGCAGCTGTGACAGAAATGAAAGATGAGTCTGATAGAACCTAAAATGGTGTGTTAGTATGTAGTTCTCAAAGTGTGTGCCCTTCTGCCAGGGGATGTCTACCACACAGCTGTTTCTTTTGGTTCTTAATGTAAACCAATGTACAGACGAGAGGTGTTGTTCTACCTTGGGTGATTGACTCTGAAATCAAGGGAACACTGCTCTGCACACATGGAAAACAGAGGTCTGTGTCTGAAATCCTGAGAAATGCCTTGAGTACCATGTTTCTATGTCCAAAAATAAATGTGAATATAAACCATAACAATCCAATAAAGGCAAGAACAACAAGGACACAGATTCTCTAGGAATGAAAGTTTACCTTATTTAGCTAGGTACATCAACTCACCCAGCTGACAACTGCCTAGTTAAAGGAACAGGAATGATAAAAAAACAAACAAACAAACAAAAAAAAACAGCTATGGCCCTGTGATCAATTGCAGGAAGAGAACATTAGGCCTTAGGAGGTCATTTGATATACATAGAGAGTGGTTGGGATGATGGGTGCTAACAGTCTTCTCCTGGAGAGGTAACAAGGTAGAAGTAAGTGAATGGGGTGAGAATCTAGGCTCATTTTTCTACCTTGACCAGAAAAAAAATTAAACATGATCTGGAGGAGCTCATCCTTTCTCTTATCCCCGTCATTTCCTTATATAGGCATTAAGGTTGGATAATAGATTCGGATGCTTGTTAGCAGCATTTATCTCTCCTAGATCCTGTTTAGGTAGAGTTGTGTCATGGCCACTTTGCTTTTTTTTTCCCCCAAAGAACATGATTTCCATGGTGGTGCTCTTCCTCTATAAGCTTTTTATGCCTAAGACATTTGAAATCACTCTCAGTCAGGTCCTTGATTACTTTCATGAATTTTCCAAACTTCCCATCTCAAAGAAGTAGGGTCCACCAGCACAGGACTCCTGTCCATTCCCTAATGGGCAGTAATTAAGCATCTGATTACTCCTGTCCATTCCCTAACGGGCAGTAATTAAGCTGTCCATCCCCACCTTTTCCCAAAGTATAGACATTTCTAATCAGTGGCTATAATCAGTCACCATATAGGATTCTGAGGGATTTTTTCCTGGATTGTCCTGAGTAATTACTTTGATTTAATGAGCTTTACCAGAATCTGGACTCCTGGGATGCACAGCCTCTTGGGACTAAGGATGGCAGAAAGAAGATACAGTAGAAAGGTTGGTGTAGTTAGGTTATAACTACAGAGGCTGTTATTTTCTCTGGCTATAATGAATAAAGGGGCTATGTTCTTGGGTCAGGGCCCTGGAGTCACCCTCAGACAGCCTGGGTAAGTTGGCAAGAGGGAGAATGAGCTGGTGCCTTTCCAACCCTATGGTCCTGATTCCCTGGTTGAATGATGTTCTGCAACATAATTCTTTAGGCTTGATAACTTTCCTTTTCCCCACTTATGTGCCTCCGAAGACATTGCCACATTACAGGAACATTTTGATTAATGTTCATCACTGATAATCCTTTTCTTAATATAATGTTCATTAATGTTAAAGTATAATGTATTCTCAAAGGTTAGAACATTTTGACATAATAATATCTATGCAAGGCAGGAGTCATCTGAGGAGCTTTAAAAAGTTTTGCGAAGCCCACCTTCAGAGATTATGATTAAATTAATTTGAAATAGTTCAGTGATCTGTATTTTTTTGTGGGAACATACATACTTGGTTAATCAACTGCAGACCATTGACCACAGAATTGATGTCACCAGGGTATTCTTTAAAATGTACAATCTGAGCTACAGAAACAAAATTTACACATTATTTGCATGTATATTGAACTTTAGAAACACTGCCTTAGATGATTCTTATATGAGTATAGGTAAGAACAATGGATTTCACAGCAAAAGAAGAGAGGAAGCTCATTGGGTCATCAATGACAACATCAGCAGGTGATGTTTCTGATTTGTGATCCATGAACATACTCTTGACACAAGAGATAGTCCTGCTCACTCACAAGAGATTGCAAAATTCTGAGAAACCAGGTGCATGATTTTCCTACATGTTTCTTCCCCTTGTAATGACACTACATAATTTCCAAGGGTATACACTGCTAATGCAGCTGTGTTAAACACCATCAGCAGTGTGAAGTTCACAGAAGTTGGATTAATTAATTTTATTTTAGTGAAGACGATTCCCAAATCTCTTAATGCTCCTCCTCTGCATACTTTGACAACTTTGAGATATACTGAGGTTTATGAATCAGAGTTGTCCAAAAGAAAAAATAAGAGAGTGTGTATGTATACATGTGTGTGTGATTTACTTTAAAGATAAAGTCCATACAGTACTGGGGACTGACAAATCTTGATATCTGCAGAGAAGGACAGTAAACTGGAGTCCTGGAAAGAGGGTATATTACAATCTTGAGCCCAGAGCATTTGCAGGTAGAATTCTTCTTCTTCTTGAGAGTAAATTATTTTGTCTTAAGTCCTGCTACTTATGGTATAAGTCTCATCATACTGTGGAGATTAATCTACTTTACTCAAAGTCTACTAATTTAAATGTTAACACATTATAAAATACCTTCCTAGAAACATCTAGAATTGTTCCAGAAAAACGTGCCATCAGGGCCTAACTAAATTGTCACATAAAATTAATCATTCCATACAGTGTGGGCATCAGAAGAAGAATTCAAATGAGGACTCAAAAAAATTGTGCCTTCCCCATATTTTATAAAATACTCAGTATATTTATTTTCTTATGTAAATATTAACAGGAGTCATCAGTATTACTCAAAAGAGTAAGACATCTGACATAGCCTAATATTGTCCATAAGTACAAATTGCATTTGTGAAGTGTGGCTAAATGGTTAGGTCCAGTAAATTTAAATGTTGGGAGAATTTAATAACAGTATTTTTTTTTTTTTACGTAATGAGAACTCGCTGCCTTTAAAGTTGAAGGAATCTGTCCCAACCTGAATGACTGCCAACAAATATTACTGAAGCATTGGCCACATCAGGCACCATGCCAGGGGCTGCTCTGCTGCAGACATGGAGCAGACGGAGTTTCCTGCATGGAGTTCACAATTTGGTGCGAAGTCAGCTATCCACCAGTGATCAGCACATTTAGTGGTGCGACATGAGTGTAGAATGCTGTGGAACCTGCAGCAGGACTCACCTGGTCTGGAGTCTCAGGGAAGGTTTGTGTTAGCAAGTGCCTAAGGATAGGCCAAGTGAAGAAGAGGCAGAGGGGAGAAAATGATAGGCCACAGGAGGAACACCAAGTAAGAAATACTAGAGGCAATAATTTATGACCGTAGGTCCAGCATTGCTGGAGAGTGGGATACAAGAGTCACTGTGGGGCCACTGGAGTCCATGGTCACAGATCAGGTAATGAAGCATCATTGTGCCCCTGAAAGGAAGGTTGCCTTCATCTGACGAGCAATCCCATAAGGCACTCATCAGAACAGGCATGACCAGATTTCAATCTTGGAATGCCACAGTGCGGATGAAGCATATTAAAAGAGAAGGGTATTGAGGCATGGAAAAGAGGGACATAAGTTGAGAGACGGCTTTCATAGTTCAGGAGAGATCATATGTCATCCTGTTACAGAAATATGGTCTTGGGATAAGAATGGATGAAACAGCAGAATGAAGAGTGAAATCTCTAGGATATGTTAGATTGGAGTTGATGTTAAAAGAAAGGGAATGGGTGAAATAAAATTCACAGACTTGTGATTTGATTCTGAATTCCTTCTACTTTTAAGAATGTAGAAGAGGAGGAGGTTGGGAGAGAATTAAGTGAGATCATGTGTTTCATTAAGGACATATTGTGCTAAGGATGCCTGAATACATTCAAGAGAAGATCATCATTAAGAAATGGGATGCAGAGTTCTGTGGGTGAAAGAGACATCTATGCCTGAGTTTTTTTCTTTGGAATATTTGTAGAATTATAAAATAATGGGGTTTAGAAAGATACTTAAATAACATCAATATAAAAGATAGTGATGGAACCAGGAGTGGTGTCATCCCAGCAACTCAGGAGACTGAGGCAAGAGGATTACAAGTTGGAACCCAACATCAGTAACTTACCAAGGTCCTAAACAACTTGGAGAGATCCTATCTCAAAATTAAAAAAAAGGGCTGGGGATGTGGCTCAGTGGTAAAGTGTCCTTGGGTTCAATTCCCAGGAACGACACACATTAAAAAGATACTGATAAAACAAGAACCTAATGATAATCATTCAAGCAGGTAAGAGAAAGATCAATGTATTTTTATCCCAGAGGAAAACAGATAAGTGTTTAGGGAAGGAGGAAACATGTTAAAAAGAATTCATTAAAAATCACCAATGCTTATAGGGTCTTAAGACATTTGTAGTTTAGAGGTTATAATTAATGTGGTGTTAATGTGACGATCAATTGCACAATGAAAAATGGACCAAGAACATAGAAATACATTCATCTTACTTGAAATTTAAAGAGATCCTATTATTTTCTCTTAAAGGTACTGGAGACAGAGCATGAAAGGAAGGAACCAAACTATCATCTCAGAGTTCCTCCTCCTGGGCCTATCCAGCCAGCCACAGCACCAAAACCTGTTCTTTGACCTCTTCCTAAGCATATATCTTATCACTGTCCTAGGGAACCTCCTCCTCATCATCCTCATTCGCCTGGACTCCCATCTGCACACACCCATGTATTTGTTTCTCAGCATCTTGTCCTTCTCTGACCTCTGCTTTTCCTCTGTCACCATGCCCAAATTGCTACAGAACATGCAGAGCCAAATCCCATCCATCCCCTATGCAGGCTGCCTGACCCAGATTTACTTCTTTCTGTTTTTTGGAGACCTTGACAACTTCATCCTTGTGGCCATGGCCTATGACCGTTATGTGGCCATCTGTTTTCCCCTGCACTACACCACCATCATGAGCCCCAAGCTCTGTCTCTCCCTGGTGATGCTGTCCTGGGTGCTGACCACATTCCATGCCCTGTTGCACACCCTGCTCATGGCAAGACTGTCTTTTTGTGTGGACAATATGATCCCCTACTTTTTCTGTGACATGTCTGCTCTACTGAAACTGGCTTGCTCTGACACTCATGTTAATTATTTGGTGATATATATCATGGGAGGACTGGTTGTTGTCCTCCCATTCCTACTCATTATCTTATCCTATGCACGAATTGTCTCTTCCATCCTCAGGGTTCCTTCTGCTCAGGGTATCCATAAAGCCTTCTCCACCTGTGGCTCCCACATTTCTGTGGTGTCACTGTTCTATGGGCCAGTCATAGCTCTGTACTTATGCCCATCAGCTAATAATTCTACTGTAAAAGATACTGTCATGTCTCTGATGTACACGGTGGTGACTCCCATGCTGAACCCCTTCATCTACAGCCTGAGGAACAGAGACATGAAGGGAGCCCTAGGAAGAGTCTTTTGTCAGAAGAAAATTCCCACCTATGTATGATTGAAATTATTGGATTTTTTAATATCATTTTATCTAGTAAATGTATTGATATTAATATTGGAATATTATTCTAGATTGTTTCCCACAACATGGTAACTTCTGACGAAGTAGCATATCACATAATTGCTCAACAGGTAAAAGAGAGAAAGTTTAGCTAATTAGTTGGAAGGGGGTCTTGTTAACCTGGCTATGCCTTCCTGTTTCTCTTTTCTTGGTGATCCTGGGAAGCACAGGATAAGGGCTACTGTTTTATGAGACCTCTATTCTTTACATTCTTAAGTTACCCTCATATTTTGTTATTTTATCTCAAACATGCTTTGACCATGGCAGAATTTTTAAATAGTGCTCCATAATCTTACGTTGTTACTCAACAACATCTAAATATCTCCACCTCCCAACCTCCTTCAAATATCTCCTACACAATATTCCTGCACAAATTTTGGCATCATTCTCTCTCTTAATTTTCTGCCTTTTCCTGTCCCTAAATACATGTCTACATTAATTTTTCTGCCTTTTCCTGTCCCTAAATACATTTTTAACCCTTTATGTAATGCTGTCATTGCACAATTCTGTCTTTACATGTCGTTAACTAAGGCAAGGACCATATAAATTATTTCTCCAGGACTGGGCAAGGAAGCCTGAAGTTGGTAAAAAGTTTAGTTTTAAAGGACACCTTCTTGTTTGGTATTTTGACTTTGCAAAAGTTCCTGATATCTATGCCTTGATTACACACTCATTATAATTCAAAGGAAGTAGAAAAGATACTCTCACTATTTGTAACTACAAAATATGAAGTTCACTGACTTTCCTTGTCATTCAGAAAATCCGTTGTTCAGCTGGTGCAAGATCAGAGACTTCTTTTCATTTTCTCCCACATCCAAAAGAAGGGAGTAGCCACTCTTTTTAAAACCCAGCTCCTCTATAGAATGGGCTGTTTCCATCTTGGTTTATTTGTTTCCCTATTTGTACCCTGTAGGTGATGGTATCCAAACCCATTTATTTCCTCCTTCATAGTCTGCTGACCCCACAACTGTTTAAATGCCAGAACTTCCTCAAAATTTCCCATCAATTCATTTCACTTCCTAGCTGTTCTTTTCATTCTAAACAATTTAGAATTGTTTTGTCTACTAATGTGAAAAATGTCATGGGTATTTTGGTAGGAATCTCATGATGGAACATATTGGTATTTTGATTGGGACTGCACCAAATCCATATATCACTTTGGGTATTATGGACATATTTTTAAAAATATTTTAGAAAAATGTACATGTTGTAATCACAAACTGTATGAACATCTTAACAATATTCCAATCCATGAATATGAGATGCTTTTCCTTTTGTTGTTGTTGTTGTCTTTCAGTTTCTTTCAACAAGGTTTTATACTTTTCACAGTAGAGATTTTTTTCTCTTTGGTTAAACTTATTTATAAGTATTTTAGTTAAAGTTTTACCTACTGTAATTTGGATTGTCTTCTTGATTTCTAATTCATATAGTTCACTTTTGGTATATAACATTGCTACTGTAATTAGCTACTTTTTTACCTTGAAAAATTGCTGAATTTGTTTGTTACTTTTAATAGTTTTTGATGAAGTTTTGAGGGTTTCTAGATATAAGATCATGTTGGGCTAACAGAAACAATTTGACTTCTTCTTTTCATCTTGGATGTTCTTTGTTTCTTTCTCTTGCCTTATTGCTCTGGATAGGATTTCCAGCACTATGTTCAATAAAATTTGTGCAAAGTGGACATCCTCTTCTTCCAGATCTTAGAACAAAAGATTTCAGCTTCACTCCATTCAATATAATTTTAGCTTATTGTAAATGACCTTTATTATGTTGAGGTATATTCCCTCTATGAAAGATTTCTTGATGATTTTTAAAGGGTGCTAAATTTTATCAAATACATTTTCAATATCTATTGAGATAATCATGGTTTTTGTCTTTCATTATATTGATGTAGTGTATCATGTTTATTGATTTGTATTTTGAACCATTCTTGCATCTCAGGGATTAATCCCACTTGATTATGATGCAAATCTTTATAATGTTGTGGATTCAGCAGAGTAGTATTTTACTGAGAAGTTTTGCATATGTGTTCATTGAAAATATTAGCTTGAAATTTTATTTTCTTTCTTTTTTTATTTTTACCTCTTTGGTTTGGTATCAGGGTAATGTTGGCCTCATACAATGTGTTTGGAAGAATTATGTCTTAAAAAATTTTGAATAACTAAGAATTGGAATTAATTACTCCTGTTTTGTAGAACCTAACAGTTAATATGTTTTTCTTTGATGGGATACTTTTTATTATTGATTCAAATTTGCTACTTGTTATTGGTAAGTTCTGGTTTTTATTTCTTCATGATTCAATAGTAATAAGGTATATGTGTCTAGAAATTTGTCTTCAGAAGAATACTCATTTTAAACAGCTTTTGCAGATGAATTTTTATATAATAAAACCAATCAATTCAGAATTCAACAATTTACAACACTTGCCTAGCATACATGAAACCCTGGGTTTCATAACCAGTACCATAAAAAATAATCTAAAACTCAATGAGATTTTAAGTCTTGAACGACTTCAATTCTCCTCAAAGACACTTGATGAAATCCATGCCAAATTCCAACTGGAATTATTTTTATGGAAACAAACAAGCTTATTCTTAGATTTACTTGAAAGAGAAAATAAGTAAAATTTCTAAGAACTATTTGAAAATCTAGAAATATTAGTTGATTCTATGCCTAGCAATACCAGTATATATCTGGAAAAAAAAACTCTGTAAGTAAAACAGTATACACTTGTATAGAAATTGACAAAGAGATCAAGAAATGAGGAAAGATTTGAAGAAATAGTCCTGTGGGGGGAATTTTTTATGATGAATATGGTATTTAAGTTAAATGTGGTAAAGAATGCAGTACTTAAAGAATGGTACTGGGATGATTGACATGGTAAAATATTAAATGAATTCCTTACACTCTTTTTTTTGAGAGAGAGAGAGAGAGAGAGAGAGAGAGAGAGAGAGAGAATTTTTAAATATTTATTTTTTAGTTTTCAGCAGACACAACATCTTTCTTTGTATGTGGTGCTGAGGATCAAACCCCAGCCACACGCATACCAGGCGAGCCCGCTACCGCTTGAGCCACATCCCCAGCCCCAATTCCTTACTCTCTTAAATAAAGTGCATTTTAGATGGCTTAAAGCACTAAATAAAAACTACAATTTATAAAACTATTTAATACAAGAAAATATTTAAATTCATGCAAAATTCAGAAACTACACTTTTTAAGTTTCACACATTTGATCATGTAAAAATAAGAATTTTAAAAATTAGTTTATTAAACAAGCATATTAACTTAGTTTCCCTTTCAAAACTTGTATATTACCATAATGAAAGCATATTTTTAATTAAAATTAGCAGTACCCCTTAATTCAAGATTTACTTTTTTCCTAGGATTAAAAGTAAAGATAATTATAAGGTGAAAAATTATAAAGTTAGCTTTGAATATAATTTTAAAATATCTCAAGAATACTTAAGAGATTTGTGAAGATGACATTTATTGGGAATTAATTCATTTATCCCCATTACCTGATCACTCCTGAAATTAGGAACTAAGGTGTAAGAAGTCAAGAGGACCCAAAATTACCCTGAAACTTTGAAAAACATTCATCAGTATGCTGGAATATTCTACTTGTTCAAAGCCACAGGGTAAAGTATGTGCTGATTGGCATCTATTTCAAAAAGAATGGAGAGAAAATGGCAGGCACACAGAGCCTCATTGGTGTCCCCCTAAACGTTATGGAGTAAGGACTGGAGGAAATAGTAAGCCATGAGCCAAATTAAGAACACTATTACCTGTGTCTCTTGTCAACAGCATTTGAAAATGATATTTTCAAAAGGCTAAATGTAATGTGGCAGTGCTAGTCTAAGGAAACATCAGTAACCACATTGCTCTCTTTTGGCAATCCCCCTAACCTGTAACTTAGTACAGGGTGTAGGGTGAGGGTCCAATGGGATTCTTTTCCAAAATGTGGCTGAGAATAATCCTTTTTGTGAACATATACCCAAAATACACAAACATACACAGTCTATTAGATAACTATTTGGAAGATAATGTGAATCAAGAAATAGAATGTAGGACAAAGAGCATATGTGGGTAAATAATAAAGAGTTCAACTTTGTGTGGTCAGAAAGCATCAAGTGAAGATGTCCATTGAAAAATGAGGATAACAACTATGACATAGGCTGCAGAGATGTGGAGGTCAGTGCCATTTAAAAGAAGTTGAGGGCGGGGATGTGGCTCAAGCCATAGCGCGCTTGCCTGGCATGCGTGCGGCCCGGGTTGGAACCTCAGCACCACATACAAACAAAGATGTTGTGTCCGCCGAAAACTAAAAAAATAAATAAATATTAAAAAATTCTCTCTCTCTGTCTGTCTCTCTCTCTCTCTGTCTCCCCCCCCCCGTCTCTCTCTCTCTCCCTCTCTCTCTCTTTAAACAAAATAAATAAAAAATAAAAGTAGTTGAAATAACAGATTTGGTTGCCATCACTTGCAGGGGTCAAAGAAACTAATGACCAAGAATGGAAACCTAGACAATGATACATACAGCTCACTGTTTCTGAGGTGGGGAGAGGTGAGAAGAACCTCCACAATATAATAGTCTGCAGTCTTAAACAGGTTCAGTACTGACGCATAGTGGAGCATTGGCGTGTTCAAATTCCACATTCTTCAATCTTTGACACATAATAAGATTCCCTTTCCTTCATGGAACTATCACAGGAATTAAATAAGATCATGGATGTAAAGTTTACTGATAACTTCAAAAACCAAGGAGAGAAAGGTGATCCTTAAAGAGTGAGGTTGAAAAGCAGACTCTGGACTCCTTGACCATTCTTGAGGCAACAGCACTTAGGGCCCCAAGAGGACTTTCTTTCCAGCAAATACAAACTAAATTGCTATAAGAAAGCAAATATAATGTGTATTTAAATACATATCAAGTAAAAAGG